GCCTCATGGTATGACTGAGGCTCTACTATTGCAGAAAATGCATGTAAATAATTCTGATAATCAGTAGAGATGTTGTCATAGCAAATATGATTAGTTATGGTATGAGGGTGAGACTTTTGGGGCACAATGTAGTCTTTAATCCATACTGGTGGTTTGATAGCTCTGCTAGTCTTTCTAGGACCAATATTGTCTTGTTGAATGTCATCTGGATGCACATGATCATCAACAGGTATAAGGTCAGCTTCTGTAGGTTCCACCATCATCTCAGTTTCTGCAGGTTCCACTACAGTCTCATTTAATGCATCAGTAGGAGGAAGAATAGGTGATGTTGGCTGCATAATGGGCTGATTATAGTCATGTGTACCTGCATCATCTATAAATGGTGATAATAAAGGGTAAGGTCCCTCATCTGACTTCAGAAGCTTGAAAGAAAACACCTCCTCTCTGAAGACCACATCCCTGCTAATGAACACAGTTCTTGTATCCAAATCATACGGTCTATACCCTTTTTGTATGGAAGAAAAACCCAACAAGACTGATCTCTTTGCTCTAGCCTCAAATTTGTCTCCTCTGGGCAGTGTACTCGCAAAACACAAACATCCAAAAACTTTAATGTGTTCTATACTAGGAGGTTTCCCAAATAACACCTCATAAGGAGACTGTCCATCCAAAACACCAGTAGGTAATCTGTTAAGAAGATAAACTGTTATTTGTATACAATCACCCCAGAATCTACTAGGTACATGAGATTGCAACTTCAATGCTCTTCCTACCTCCAAAATGTGTCTATGTTTCCTTATAACCACACCATTTTGTTGTGGGGTATAAGGACAACTACTTTGATGCACAATGCCTAATGAAGAAAATAAAGTATTAACTTGACTATTGAAGAACTCAGTACCATTGTCTGATCTCACAGTCTTTATTGAACAACTAAATTGATTACAGATCATACAAAAGAAACTTTTCAATACAGCTCCTACTTCTTTCTTGGACTGTAACAAAGAGACCCATGTAAATCTACTGTAGTCATCAACTATAGTCAAGAAGTAATGCTTTCTATCATAGGTGGGATGCTGGTGAGGACCCCAGACATCCATGTGCATAAGCTGAAACAAACTACTGGATTTAGTTATACTAGAAGGAAACTTCAGTCTACATTGCTTGGCCAAAGGACAAATCATGCATTCTTCTTGTATACTAACATCTACTTTATTCTTCAAAATGGAAATGTGCTTCATTACTTTCACAGAGGGATGCCCCAATCTGAGATGCCAAAACTTCAAATTTGTCATCCTATTATTTGTAACTACTGCTCCTGCTACTGAGAGTGCTTCATGCTTGAGAATGTAAAGACCTTCTTCTTCCTTACCAATCCCAATCACCTCCCCAGTATTGAGAGCCTGCATTGTACATAGGTTAGGATAAAAAGACACCACACAATTCAGGTCCTTAGTCAGCTTAGAAACTGACAGCATATTAAATCTGAATTCTGGCACATGTAGCACATTTTCCAGCTTGTATTTTTCTAAAATCTCTGCATTTCCAATGTGATCTATTTGGATTTTATTCCCTGTAGGTACTTGCACTTTATTAGGATTTGACTCTGTTAAGTGTTTGCAATCATGAAGAATCTTATCACAATAAGTAACATGATGTGTAGCCCCAGAATCAATGATCCACTTCAAATTTGCTACATTCACATTATCATGATTAACATTCATACCTGTAACTGCATTCGCTTTACAACTTCCTGTGGGCTGAGAAACCATCATCTTCAGCACTTGATCATAGTGTTCCTTTGTGAAATAACCACCTGGAAAATGGAAGTGAGAAGAAGTACCTCCTCCTGAAGTAGATGAGCCAGCTTTAGCTGTTGATACATGAGCATGAGACATGATATCCTCATCAGTAGACACTCTCCTTTTGCTTTTGAAATCAGTAGGAAACCTACAATCCTGTAGCAAGTCTCTTTTGTATGGCCTTTGTATCCACAGTGTTCACAGATCACACCGGATTTCCTTCCTTGTGAGACATGACCTTGATTTTTCTTGGACTGAGAAGTATTAGGTGGATACTGAGAATTTTGTGGCTGATTATTGAATCTCGAACCTCTTCCTGCTAGCATAGTCATTGGATCATTTCCTTCTTCCATCAAACCTAGCTTCCTTTGGCTTTCCTCTTGAATAGCCATTGCATAAGCTTGATTCACACTTGGGGACTGGTGAACCAAGCAGAATTGAACTCCTGACTTGAGCATAGCTCTCATTTAATCCTACTAAAAATTGCAATAACCTCTGTTGTCTAATGTGCTCAACATAAGAATTCAACTCATGAAAAATTCCACAAATGAAAAATTCTAGTCAAGTTAGATTTATCAAACCTCTCCTTGAAGTCGCTCCAGATCTTCCTCGCACTCGATGCATACACAATGCTGGTTAACAACTCTGGTGCTACTGTTGCACTGATCCACGATAACACAACTGCATCACACCTTTCCCATCTGATTACCAAATCTCCTTTGTACGTGCTCTTAACACAGGTGTCATCAACAAATCCAAGTTTGTTTTTGACTTGTAGTGCAAGGCGCATTGATCTATTCCACAGTCCATAATTCTCTGGACCTGTAGCTTCATTGGAATTAAGGCAACACCAGGGGTATCAGATGACTGTAGATGCAAATGATGATTGTGATCGATTTGTGGATCAATTTCTGATGTATCTGAGTTATTCACCATTGTTGCAGTGTTACAGACTTTCGATCGCCTGCTCTGATACCATGAAAACTTTTGTAATCTAACTACTCGAACTGAATTGAGAGCTTTCTAGAACAAATTCACATTGTTACTAATGGCAAATTTTCATTTCAATCAATTGATCTTTTACAGAATAGAACTGAACCTATATAAAGGAATTTCTCATCAATTATTCTATCTCTAACTCACACATGGATCACATGCCTTTAACAGAATGAATAACAGAAAGTTAACAACCTAACAGAAAGTTAACAACCTAATAACAGAAAGTTAACAACCTAACAACTTGACCATTCTATATCTCAATAGTGTCTGTTGAGAAGTGATATATGTTCTCTTTACCAACCACTACATTGCATTATTTGTCCTGTTTTTTTTTATGGCTGCTGTTTATCATGCCTAATTGCTTTGATTAAAAAATTATGGTGAATATAGATTTAACCATGCAATCTCATGAATTACTCCTAAAGGTTGACATCAAACTAGTACTAGTTGATGAGAGTTACTTCGGAAACAAAAAGGTCTAGTCAAATTTCTCTGCTAGTATTATCTCAATTCCAATAAAATATAATCGAGTAAAGTATGACTTTGCCATCAGAACTTATAACGGGATTTCAAAACATAAGTAATTTCTACTAGATTTTTTATCCCATTTTTAGGTTCATTATAGGCTTCTTATTAGTTAGAACTTCCAATAATCTTGGTAGAAATTTGTTATCTTTTTTTTCCGCCTCAGCAAATCATTTTTTCCACAGAATCGTGATGTCTTGTCTTCCTTCACCTTATAAAAACAGTTTAGTCCTCTTATCTACCTTTGCATTTGGATTTATACTCAACTATTTGGATAATTACTTGTCTTATTATTCTAATGACGTCCGTTTATCACACTTAGATTGAGAAATTAAACTATGATGAATTGTCTTCTTTGACATTTCTATAAGACTTGTCAATATGATTTAATCTCTTTATATAATATGTTGCTGCCTTTGTAGAAAATTGGGCTTGTATACTTAGCCATGACACTGATGTTTGTGGAGAAAGGGATTTCTCTTTTTAACTTCATCTGATCAAAGTATGCCATTTATAGTAGTATATTTTATGCATGACATATGATAAAATAATTAATATATGAATAGCTAAATCTTATACATGTATTTTCTCATAACTAATATTTCTATTATTAATATCTATAAAAAATAATACATAAAAATTTTCATAATTGATTTCTATATTGTTAATACCTACTTAACTCTAACCGTTATATACAAATGGAACTTTCAATATTTATCCATTATTCAGTATGTTTGACCAATAAACATGATGGGCTAGGTAGAAACATTGGGCCTCGAAAATATACAAAACAAAAACAGAATGGGCTGTTAATTCGAGTTAGGCCCAATTAATTCAAACCGCACAACGTCTCATCCGGCCCGTTTATTATTCCTTTAGTAATACACAAGTAGAAAATACATAATGGACTGATAGAGAAGTATGTTGCGGATAAAGTGTGGGTAAAAATAAGAAAATAGAAAAATATCCAATCGCTTTGGCATATTATCAAACACCTTAAAGTCATCACTTATCTATAAACAGAGAGAGAAGAAACATAACATCAATTATTTTTTTTAAAAAAAAGAAAAAACATAACATCAATCATCATCTCACTATCAACAGAGAAACCACAAATATCCAACACTGAAAGTGGGAAATATAAATACCCAGCAAACCATCAAATATGAGAAAGATAAGATTACATATATATGTCCAATATATAGAACAACACAATATTGAAAAAAAAGAAAACTCACCAGAAACTAACAACAGTTAAATGGGAAAAAATCTGCAGCAGCGATTGCCACAAGGAATTACAAAAAAATAGAAAAACTAAAGTATTTGTCGGGGAACCTTTAATACCCAACAAACAAAGATGGTAAATAAGTTTAATTAAGAAAGAAATTTGTGAAATAAGCCCAACAAAATTAATACAGTAAGTAACAAAGTCTAAATGGCTAAAACATTGAAGATCTAGCTTAATTAGGGTAATAGAAAGGGAGGAGGAGAAATAGAGAATAGTTCCTAAAAAGGTTTCATTGAGAGAAGACTAGAGTAATTTATTCAACTACACGTGTCGTCATAAATTCACTAAAGGGTACTACTCATACTACTTTTGGTACAATTAATAGATGCTGTGTTCGTCCAAGCCTTGTTGGCTTATTAAAATAGGGTAATAAAATAATAATAATAATAATAATTTAACTCTCCAAACATAGGGTTTTTATCTTCTGTCAGAGCAAGTGATTCCGGCACCCTCGCAGATCTGTCCGCCATAGCCGAACGCTCAGAGGTACTCTTCTCATCCATTTTTCTTACCTCTTCATACTGACTTCTCTTCAATTATATGCCAAATTTCAATTTCGTTTTTAGCGGCGTCTTGCAAGTATGATAATCATAGTAAACCGAAGGATATGATACCTGACAATGTTCTATATGTTTCTATTGCATTTTACTCCTTTGATGATAAGTACATGAATTAATGCAATTGAGGTTTGTCATTTGATTGCTGAAGTAGTAGATATTAATAAAGAACGAACGGCCAATGCTTAAATATCTGTAATATAGTAATGTTTCTGCGATTTCACTGATGAAATAATTGAAGTAGCTAGACTAGATTTTATATGTCAAAGTCCCGTTCATTTCGAATCTCCAGGATAGAACTTTATATCTCAATGCTGGTATGGTTTCAAAGTCGTTCGTGTTGTATTGTCAGAATAGAGATTTATATCTTAATGCCTGTATGTTTTCAAAGTCTTTTTATTGTCAGGATAGAGATTTATATCTCAATGCTAGAGTTTTACATCTCTATGCTTTTATGATTTGAAAGCTGTTTATTTCATATAAGAAATTTTAGAGAAGGAGTGTTGTATTTTTGTTTGTTTAGTTTTGTCAATTGGTTTCTACATAAGCTATATAGTGATGGTTAGGTTTGTATTTCTAATATGTTAATTGATTAGATCTGTGAAGATGTACACATAAAAAATTAGTCAAATTGATGACAAGTACAAGTGAACAAAAGGAGTATATAGGAGGATACAATTTCCTATGTCTAGTTGGGAAAACAATTTTTAAAAGTATCTTGTATTTTTTACATTCTTTTAAGGAAAAAAATTAGACAGACGAAGCTAAAAGAAAAAACTAAGAGGGAAAAAGAGAGAAAATTAACAGTAGTAAACCAGAGAGCTTTGTATCCTCAAAAGAAAGCAGAGAACAACCATCGACAATATCAGTTATCAATTCATCTTTCTACTATCTCTTATGCTAGTAAGTATTAATCTTCACATCAGTATTTTTTTTTCTGGGTTTTAGTTGTATTAATGGTAGTACAAATTGGTGAGATGTTAGTACTTTTTGAGGCATCATTTCGTCCTAAACTAGTTTGAAGAAAGGCGAAAGTTTTACTATTTTCAATCCCAAATCCGGCAACCTTAGCTATTTGATTTTTATGCAATAATTATACACAACCCAGTTTTATGCAAAATTGACAGAAATAAAAACAAGGATCCATTCATTCGTCTATTTGGAGCAGAAATAATAGTAAATAAACAAGTAAAAGGTTCAAGAATAATGTATATTCCGTGAAATGAAAGAAATAAAGAGATTGAATTATTATTTGGAGCAGAAATAATAGTAAATAATGTATATTCCGTGAAATGAAAGCTATTTTTTCCCTTTCTTTCTCTCTCTACTTTCTTTCCCCGATCACTGTATCACATGTTACTGGCTTACTACTGTACTTCACATAATTTGATTATTAATTACACTTAATCTATTTGAATATTGTTTACACCTATTGGTAGAACTGGTGTTCTAATTTTGTAATGCTTGTGTTATGTTTATTCGTGGGTTATATCGTATCTGACTTTCTCATTCCTATCACAGAATCTTTAACAAATATGGCTGCGTCGTCTTCTTCTTGTCGGTTGGTTCGTGGTAAGGGGCTTTACTTGCTTTGATTGCTAATATGGAGCGGTATGATATACATTTGTGTGAGATGTGTGACTCTCATTCTTTTTCAATGATAATATATTAAAATGCCAATGATATTCTCTCTCCCCCCTGCCTCATGGGAAAAGGGGATGTTGTTTCAGGCAGATAAACTAATGAAAAGAGGAGTGTAAAAGAGTAATTACAGGCCGGGATACTCCATTTTTTGATCTGCAGAAAGGCAGTTTACATCTTTGCTCATTGGTGGATGGTCTAATGAACTCAGATTAGGTTTTGCATGTACATGTTCTAGTTATTCTCCACACAACAAACTCATTTTATATTTCTTGCACGGAGCAGCTCATAAACAGGAACTACATGTTTTGTCTCTAGTGATATAATGTATTACCCCCCCCCCCCCCCCCAATATTTGTATGGCACTTTCTGTATCCTGAGAGTATGACTAAGCTGTGATTGGATTAGATCAACTCAACATTTTATAATTATAATTTATATTCACAAACTATATGAACCACAAATTGCAATTCTTCTCATGTCAACATTACAAAGAAATACATTTTAAAGTGAGGTCAAAGTTTACATAGTTTGGATGTCGAAAAGCAAAAAGGGCCACCATATAAATTGGGTAAGAGGGAGTAGTTACATGTTGGACCATTTTTCCCTTTTTCTTTCTCTGGAATTTTTCCATTGGAACCAGAGAAGCGATTAAGTAGTGCATTCGTCACTATTACCGACTAATCTACTCATTCAGTGGGGTTTGGTATCAAAATCTTTGAGCAGTGAATGTCATCTTCATTCTTTACAGCATAGCAAGTAGAGCTTAGATTTATAGTTGTAAAGGGAGGGACTTTACCCATTTACTGTAAAGTCTGGATCATTGGAGATTTATTCTCTTGTGTGAATAAGACTTCTGCTGAATCAATTTGCTCCATTCCAAGTGGTATACCCTCATTGTCCTAAATGATGTTTATGGACTCGTTTTTTCTACTTGATACAGCTTTTCATTCTTGTTTCTTTTTAATGTTCTTAAAGGAAAAAAATTTAACTGATACTTGGTCTCAAAGTTGTAGTGTGAAACTTCTACACCTATAAGCTTATTTAATCATTTTAAAGTTGAACATGATAATTCAATTTGGAAAAAGAAGGTAGTGTGATTTTTATCAGCCATAAAGTCACCAACAAATTTTGCACTTAGACAATTTTGTGGAAATGGTTAATCCAATATTGATGGTTTTATGTACATTACGAAGCCCGTTAGCAACTGCAACTGGATACTACGCTCCATGTACCAGCTCATTGAATCAACTGCCTTCCTGTGCTATCCACATTGCCTAATCATCAGCTCTTCCTTATTTTCTTGTCTATATGCATGACCTGTGCTTTAAAAAATTTATGATGAATTTGCAGCAGTGGGTCGTTCATTGTTCAGTGGTCTTTGCAACAATGCTGATGGTTTAATGAGATCAACACACGAGATGATGTGCAATCATTTGTTATTCCAGGTTCATCTGCTATGCTGTTTAATTCTCACCCCCAATACCCTAATCTTTTTCCAGTTTGCAATCTTAATCAGTCATTGAGCATGAAATTTGGATGTTGCGTGCATTTTGTCAACGCATGATATTATATAATATTGCAAGCTACATCATTCATAAATCATACCTCACATTATGATAAACCCCTCTTATTACTGATAAAAAATTTCAAATGCTTATTTTTATCAAAGGAAACAACTTAATAACATCACATGGCTGAGTTGCTATGATAAAGGTCTTGAAACTTATGAGTTGACTCTGCTAATTGAGTAGTATTTGAATTGTCTCTTGTTACAATGATTGTAAAGTTTTTCACTTGTTTTTGGTCCTTTCAGCAACAAAGAACTTTCATACAAATGAGGACGAGTCTGAAAGTGGTAGACAATTCAGGTGCAAAGAGAGTGGCGTGCATCCAAGCACTAAAGGGAAAGAAAGGAGCAAGATTAGGAGACACCATAGTTTGCTCAGTGAAGGAAGCTCAGCCAGGTGGTAAGGTGAAGAAAGGAGAAGTGCATTATGGTGTTGTTGTTCGTGCTGCTATGCCAAGGGGCCGCTGTGATGGGAGCGAAGTAAAGTTTGATGACAATGCCGTGGTACTCATCAACAAGCATGGTGAACCCATTGGAACCAGAGTTTTTGGTCCAGTGCCCCATGAGTTGAGGAAAAAGAAGCATGTTAAGATTCTTAGTCTTGCAGAGCATATCGCCTAATGTTTCAGCCTCTTGGTTGTTAGGTACCTCTACTCAATGATTATTCATTCGCGCGAGCTGATTGGAAGACATTTTGAATTTATTGTATTTGTAGGAACCTGTTGTTTTCCAATCAAATTTCTTACTTTTGCAATGTGGATTAGGCATTTCTTTATTTTTGGATGGGCTGGAATTCCGCAAATCATTAGTGTATTGTTCATACTAGAAAGACTTGTTTCAACATGCCTGCTTCATTGCTGTAAAGGGTATTTCTGTCTTTTCACGTATCTGTTATAGCTACGTGTCTTCCTCCTGCGTTATCAAATTACACCTCACTTTGTGTGTTTCATCGTTTATACTCCAGCACATCAAGGTTCTGCTGTTTCCTTCAGCATTCCATCTAGGTAAGACTCTTCGAGGTTTTCATAGAGTTTTTCTTGCATCATCTTTCTTTTCCTCAAAATTGAAGTTCGGGAACCAAATTTGATCTAGGTGTGTGAATATACCAAATTTGATTTGGGTGTGTGAAAATTTGCTTCTTTTTCCATGTTATTCCAATAATTTTAATCGATATGCTTTCAATTTTGGCTGGGTGATTATGGTTTCCGTGTTCTGTTTTGAATTCCCGTTTGAGATTTTTGTTGTGTTTTCTCACATGTAGTAAATTTTTGTTGTGTTTTGTGGTTTATTTTAGTTGGGTTTTCTTTATAGAAACTCTTTTCAATCAATTTTCTGGGTTTTTGTAATATATACCTTTTAGCTGTGTTTGTTTAAAATCCGTATGGATACCAATCCATTTAAGAAATTCAATTGCTGCTTCGAAACCACTGTTACCTAAGGCTTTCATCTGTCAACTAATTTTATAGACCCACAGGAAAAACTTAAAATGCTCAGAATAAACTGCTTTCCTTTATGTTTTCTGGCATAGACCAACTGATGCCCCTTATATTCATGAAAATCTGCCAAAGTTTTACTGTCTCTTTGCAATGTCACCTTGAAAGGCACCTTAGCTTTCTAGATCATTTTGCATGGCCAGCAACTTGGTTGACTGTCTGTCCTCTGTGGGTTCATGTAAGCTGCTCCAACTGAGAATCTCCCTTGTTTTTCTGGAGCTCATAACAGTTTGTCTTCATTAGATTCAAAAGTCTTCTTCACTTTCTTTTGTTTAATGTTATTGTGTTGCTTTTTGTAAGAAAAGTTTTACCTCTAAATAGTAATCTGCAAAATCATGAACTTTGAATATCTATACTATCTCTTATTTCTGTTACCTTATATTTTTCTAACTTAACTAATTTTCTAATAGGAAACTCAAATACAAGTTACCATGTACGGTAAAGATATCACACATTATGAAAGAGAGTTTGTTCCTTTCCAAACATATTTGCTATCAATGGCGTATGTCACTGAATCAACCAAGGCTTACGGAAATCTTCTTCATGAATTCACCTGGACAATTGATAAGGGCACAATTGTTGAACCAATAGAACAGGTTATACCCCCTGAACCACCATTGTTGCCACCAACGCTGCTAAAAGGTACATCGTTTGACAGTTTCGACTATCAAGCTATAGGCTTCGAATTTGGTACCTCTCAACATATCTTTACACTATACTTACGACACATATTATCCATTTTTCATAACTACTCTAACTTGTTAAAACTCTTTACCTTCTGCGAGATATTCTTGCCTTCGTGATAAATGGTAGCCCTCCATCATATGCCTCAAATGGGAGCAGAATTCATGAATTCATCATCATCGACTATCAGTAAGTACAATTTTACTTCCAAACTTTTCAAAACTGAAAATTTTGATCATCTTTTCCTTTAGCTATACCAACTGTTTTATCTTCCCTTTACAAATTATAACTGATCATGCATTTTTCTTGAATATTTTTGCTGGCTAAATGCACACAAAATCTATATATATACACATAAATATTATATAAATGGTTAGAATCGTTTGTTCATCCTATATTATTTACGTACTGCTACATTTTGGTTACTCTCCAGTACTACTGTAGTAGTAGGTTATGCCTAAATACAGAGATAGGAGTAGCACAAAGAAAAGAAGCAACTCAAAATATAAAGAGGAGTTTTTTGGTTCTTTCTTTGGTTGAAGAGCACTAAAAGATGTTTTGGAAATAGAGTCTTTCTTATTCTTTCTTTTCATCGAGAATCTAACGCTGAACAGTTGAGACCAATAGAACCCTCAAGTAAAGTAGTAAATTAGATTAAGACATTATTCAAAATTCTCTGATAATAAGTTTAGCATTGTGAATTGACACACTTCTAAATAGCTTGTCCGACTTGTAACAATGCTGATCAATTCATATACAAACAACCTTCTGTTAGAGCAGAACACGACAACACAAGTAATGAAATAACAACCATGCCTGAAATATACCTAATTCAGACATTTATGCCACGTCTGTTCTTTGATAAAAGAGGCTAGAGACTTCTGTATTTCAATGTTCTCTTTTTAAAATAAAGTTAATCCTTTGCTCTTTCAAAAAGTGAATCACTTGACCTTCATCACCTTGATCTTTCCTTGTATGTTTTCTATGGGTTGATGCCAACTAAGAATCTCACCTGTTTATCTGAAGCTCACGACAGTTTGTCTCCACTAGATTCAAAAGTCTTCTTTACTTTCTTTTGTTTAATGTTGTTACTCTGTTACTTTTTATGAGAAAAGTTTTAGCTCTAAATAGTTGTCTGCAAAATCACGGCAATGAAAGATTTACTTGATGTTTTTTAAATTGGCTGTCACATGATGTTGTGCCTACCACTCTCTGGCAATTCAGAAATGTAATAGAAATCAAAATGCTTATCAAAATGCCTTGCAACCAAATTCTACACTGCTGCTTAAGCAACAATTGTAGCACCCTTTTCTCAAAAAAACTTTCTTCCGTAAACTTTTTTCCATTTCAGCTTGTATCTATGTAAGCTAGGATCTATTATAACACTATTTATCTTTTTTTCTATGTAAACAGGAAAAAACCAACAAAACTCACTCTCTGGGAAGAATTCATAGACCTTTATGGGAATAAACTTCTCAAACATCTGAAAGAACTTCAAGATTTCCCAGTAATTCTTGCCAGAAAAGTGGCCAAACCAAAATCGTCTTCAGGTAAAATTCAGACATACTAACAATATCTCCCATGCTGAAACACATATTACTCAAATTAACACCAACTACTCAACAATCCAGATTGATCCCCCGTACCCACAAGCTATCAAACTAAAGACATGGTATTCAAAATACACCCCTTTCAATGAATAAATATATGAGTTCACATCTTAACATTTTTAACTTACATACAGGTCCAATGAAATAAAACCACTTCTTAGCACATACACAACAAAAAGCACCACAGCTACAGGATCTCTTTTGTTTGTGCCATTTGAAGAACACATCGTGCCTATTGTCAATATCCAGCAACAATCTTTGGAACTTATATCATCTACATCTTAAATTTATTTTATAGATTAAACTGTTAATACAATTTACCATTTCATGTATATTCCCAGGGCCAAATATTCCATGTGCAAGCTCAATTGTTAATATCCAATGAAACTCAACGATTCTGTGTTTTACTCTGCTCCGACTGCAAGCAAATCTTTCCAAGGAATTGGTCACAGAGTAGATTCTATTGTACAACTTGCTGTCGATCAACACATCTCACACCCAGGTATACACATATCCTTATCTTATCTGGATATACAATTGTTAATATATTTTTTACTTCTCCTCCAGTTGAACTAATTTGTTGCTAACTAAATAACAATTTTCAATTAAAAAAGTTCTTTCCGAACATAAACATATTGAGTTTTGCTTCCGTAACAGATGCCAGTTTGAAGTAACCATCCAAGATGGTACTGGTTCAACAACAGCTATGATTTCATACAAAATTGGAGAAGAACTACCGTCTCTCACAAATTCATGAAATACGTTGCATCAAGGTAAAACACTCTACAGCCTCTTGCTTCTTGCTTAAAAATCTATCATACATGATTTCCTTTCATCTTTCAGAAACAATTGTTGCCACTCATACCCGTGCAACACAAGCTGCTAGGGAAGACATTCACTATCCAAATGAAGAAGCTGTTCGCAAAACACAAGGATGCATCTTCAGCAAAATTGTTCATCATGTCAATCACTGAAGAAGATATTGCTAGCAACCTGCCATTGCCACTCACTGCACCAACAACTCCAGAAAGCAGCAAACGCAAGCTGAAGCAAACAAAGGAAGACTAAAGGTATTCTCTCTACGTGACTTCAATTTTTATCCAACAATATATTCAATTTATTTTTATTACTTGATACATACTGTTGTCAAATACAAACATACATAACAAACTTTCAACTGGCCTAAAAACCAAAAGAAAAATGCTGCTACACACACAAGAAATAGAGCTACTGTTGTTGTGCCTATGGCATTTTTGAGTCTTTCTGTTCCTCTCTAAAATTTCATTCTTTTTACCTTATGTTATATGATTATACTAATGTTTTCCTAAAGTTTTTGTTTGTTATATTTGGTTGCTCCATGGCCCCTTAATACTATTTGGGTTTATTGTTTTGTAATAATTTACTTGTTGCCTTCGTCTTTTGTTAAGTTTAAATGCTTACAGAAATGAAGGATTTTGATGATACTAACACTCTGTTTGGATCATTGTTACCCATTGTATTGTATTGTATAGTTACTAAACCTACAATGTTTGTTTTGATTGTTACTTAAAATGTATTGTATTGTTAAATTTCGTTGTTACGTAACAATGAAAACTCCTAATTTATGGAACAACCGATATCGTGTGTTTCCATTGGTACTTAATTTCTTTTTCCAATTATATCTTTACATAATATTTCAAAATACTATTTACCCTTTACCTTATATTATTTAATTCTAGTCAAACCTCCTACCCTAGAATAATTAAGGATATTTTAGTAAATTTATAAATTACAATACAGTACGATACAATCAAACCAAACAATTAAAATGTTATTATACAACAACATTGTATCTACCATACGGTACAGTACAATAGAGTACAATACAATACATTATGAAACAATGGGTAACAATGATCCAAACAGAGTGTAAATGATATGTGTAAATTATGGCACCAAGATATTTCTATTGGGAATGCAGGTTGGTTTTCACTTGATTAATGGTCTTATTCCTATAATCATTGCCTTCGCATGAGAGATGTTTGTGGAGTGAATTAAGAGGCTAAGTTTTCCTTTTTCTGTTCTATTGATTTAGGAGTGTGTTTGTGTCACATGTTGCAATAATCTTCCTTTACTTTATCTAGGCTCAAGGGTGTTACTTGAGTATTTGAAGGAAAAGGAGCAACTTTACCTTAACATTTTCAATAAGTATGTCTACCATGATGCTAGGTTTGTGAATTTGATTTAATCATTCCGTAAAGAAGTGTTACGCTGTTACAGTAGGATTGACGTCTGATTATGGAAGATGCATGAAGTACATCGAGACAGAGAATTTTAAAGGTATCAAAGTGGTTTTAGATTGTGAAACATGTGTATAGAGCGGTGTGAAGCTTCAGAGTTTTGAGCTGAACAAAATGTTGTGCATAGTATAGGTACCTAACTTGTCCAGTGAGTCTTTTCTCTAGTGGTAAAGAGGAGGACAATGCCTTGAGGATTCATTAACTCTAAAACTGTCATTGTTCGTTGACGTAATTGTTCACATATTGCTTTTCAGTAACTTGGCTCAGCAACTTGTAGTCTCATCAGAACATTGATTATACAAGGAGGGAGGGGATGTACTCTCCATGACCCACATGCTTGTTGATATTTTGTTCAATATGTACACTTTCATTTGCTTTTTCTTTTGTTTTTTGGACCCATGTTTCCTCAGAATTATGCCTAGATTTGGATGACAACCTACAGGATACTCACCTTATTGCAACTTAGCATATATTTTTTCAACACTCTATTTCTTCAACAACTGATGTTTTCTCCTTTTGTTATCAATGTAGTATATACTACTTTTTGCGATATGGCTGGCACCACCCTTTTGTCTACTCAACTACTACAAATGTTGATGGCGGACACTTTTGCTGTTGATAGCGTGGACTTTGTTGCTGCTTCTTGCAAACTGTCAGGTACTTAAATCTTCCCATCACACATTTACTCCTCTCCATAACTACACACTAAATTCATCTTTCCCTCTTATTTCACAGATCTGGTGCTGAATAACGCTGAATAAGGGCCAAAATGCCACATTATGTAAATATCCAATGTAAGCGTCAGCCATGACAACCAACAAAACAACTGCCAACCATATTTATAATATCTATATATAACTATATCTACATATTTGAATACTGCACGGGCAACTCTTACCTAGTAATATAAAAATGTAATTACATTTGGGACAATTGACAGCTTAGTGCACAAAGCATCTCATGTTCACATAAGGTACATGAAAGAAATGTAACTTTTCATGGCATATTTTAGACAATAGAGAAGGACGATGTCTATATAAGTTAAAATGCAACTGACCTCATATAGGGATCTACCATAGCCAAAGATGAAATCAACAGAGCCTTGAATGAAACAATTGTTGAAATAGTGAAGTCCCTTGTGATCATAAAGTGTGTCTTGGCTTCCGTAGAAGCTGCAATTGTAAAATGCTGTTTTGTTCCCTGATATTCTTAGTGCCACTGCTTGTTCACCTGCCATTCCAACCACATGGGGTGTTGTATTCTGCAAAACCAAAGTGCTACCTCCAGCCTTCATATATTCAATTTTTAGGTTCTTATCGTTAAATTCATTGAAATTTTAAAATTTGATGGATTCCTAAGATCCATATGTTTTATTTTATTTTAATTGAAAGTTGCCCAAAAATGGGCCTTTTATTAACAAAAGCAACAGAATGCAATATACAATGTTCCAGGCCCAAAAGTGGCCTTGACCCGGAAAAGCCCAAATGGCAATGTTCTAAATCAGAAAGGGAAAGAAATCTAATAACAGACAAGAAACTCCTCAGCTCCATCTGCTGCGCCGGCGACATCCACACCCAACAGCACCTCCGACCACCAGTAACAATCTACAAACACCTTCCATGTTCAGCTTGTAATCATCTGGACATCAAAAATTCTCACAGATATCATGATTCACCACCAATGAAGACTTCTTCAACATGAATGTGACATAGTTATTCTAGAGCAAGTGGTTTGAGTCAGTTTTAAATTGCTGTCCATAAATTTCTCATTTCCTTATTATTACAACTTACAAATTATCCTCTCAACAGATTGAACCCCAAAGGAATTGACACCACTGTTAAAGAAAACAATTTTTCGGCTGCCAAATAAGGTATTTGAGAAAACCCTTATGCTTCTTCAGTTGTAGTTGTTGGTATATTTAGCTTCATCGATTCAGACCGCCTGATATTTAGCTCTGTAGCCAGTAGCCAGTGTTTCGGACTCTTCGTATTCTTAGGTTTGGCATATTGTTCTTTTCCAGTTCTATTATTGCTTGTGCTTGCGGTGGGATTTCTTGCATATTATAAAATTGGTGTCTGTGTTCCTGCAAAATCGAAAGCATAGTTAGTGAAAAAGTCTGCTAATGTGTTTCCCTCTCGATAAGTATGCACCACCTCCACCTCTCTATTCATCAGCAAGCTCTTTATGTAGCTTACATCCAGAGTTATCAACCAAGGGACCTCCCATATTCCATTTAGAACCTTTTGAGCCAAATCAGTTTCAATAATCAAAGGTACTAGACCGTGTTGTAAACAATAGTCTATACCAATTCTAATCGCCTTAATTTCAACTTCAATAACAGAAACCTTCTCTATTAACCTTGATTCCGCATATATCAACTCCCCTGATACAAAAGACCATTGATCCAGATATATAATAACTTCATTTTAATTGAACCATTCGTAACTTGTTATCTACCTCCATGGTCAACAGTACTAGAGCTAGAAACTTTAATAAAAGGATTTGTGTCGTGACCCTAAGTAAGTTTTGAACTACCTTTGCCGCTACAATAAAAAATATTTTTAGCACACTGTGCGGCACTGATGATTTCATTAATAAGAACACTAGTTACTCCGTGATTGTTATTTAGTACGTCCTCTGTTTAATGAAGAAAAGAGGACAATTTTAAATGTGTTATTTTCTTTTTTAATCTGTTTGAGAAAGTGATTTTTTTTTCATATTTAGTACCGTAAGTTTTTAATTTGAACATTCTACCTAGTAAGTTTAAGACCACAAAATTGAAAAGTTTTCCTTTATTTCGTAACTATATGCCCAGTCAAATTAAGACACTTAAATTGGAATGGTGAGAGTAATTTAATTTTTAAAAGCTGGTGACAGTATATGTTAATGCTTCTTCATTTTTTGTTTTATCTGTTGGAATATTTTGTATGGCAGTAGAATTTAGCCTTCAAGGCTTCAACTACGCACTTGTAAAAAAATTCCATGTGACAAACGAACCTTAAGTAGAATACTGACACGGACTTATGTCATACGCAGGAAATTATTGGTGCATGTATCTTAAATTCGTATTTTAATCGTATGCATATTGGTCTAATCTAATGAACAACTTGAAGTGGGTTCAATTGAACCCACTTGAACCATTGTGGATCCACCCCTGGATCATAGAATTATAACAGGATTTCAAAAAATAAGTAATTTCTACTAGGCTTTTGACCCATTTTTAGGTTCATTATAGGCTTCTTATTAGTTAGAACTTCCGTTTATCTTGGTAGAAATTTGATATCTTTTTTTTCCGCCTCAGCAAATCATTTTTTTCCATAAGGAATCGTGATGTCTTGTCTTCCTTCCCCTTATAAAAACAGTTTAGTCCTCTTAGCTACCTTTGCATTTGGATTTATTCTCAACTATTTGGTTAATTACTTGTCTTATTATTCTAATGACGTCCGTTTATCACGCTTAATCACACTTTAATTGAGAAATTAAACTATGATGAATTGTCTTCTTTGACACTTCTATAAGACTTGTCAATGTGATTTAATCTCTTTAAATAATATGTTGCTGCCTTTGTAGAAAATTGGGCTTGTATACTTAGCCATGACACTGATGTTTGTGGACAAAGGGCTTTTCTTTTTAACTTCATCTGATCAAAGCTAGTATGCCATTTATAGTTAATATATACATTCATTGACTGTCGGCTACTGTTTAACTAAGCAGTTAAAAAAGTCTGAGTTTGACAAATCAGAGTTTTGTCGGTTTGGAATGAAGTGTTTTAGTCCTACTGAATTATAGGAGTTAAATATCATTCGTCACATCACACGTTCTGAAAATATGAAGTCATGTATAATGCAACATCAACTTTGAAAACGGAGCCAACGAGGATTGTGGTGGAGTGGTGAGTATTCCTTCGTCCTTAACCAGATGTTTCGGTTTCAAGTTCTCGAGGTACGGAGTCGCGAAGGTGTTTTACCCCAATTTGAGACTTTCCTGTGTTAATCAGGATTTAGTCAGACTCCAATGTCTGTATAGGATAGAACAAAAGAAAAGGAAGGATTTATAGACTTCTCCCTCTGATTTTGTTTCTCTTCCAAAATGGCCACTGGTAGACTTTTATGACTACATAAATTTAGGGCATCTATTGAACTATTCAAATTAAGTTGGTACAAAAAAAATTTCTTCCTTCGAGTGATATTTTCATTAAGAACACACGCATATCAAGTCTACTTTTCTTGTTTGGATGGTTGTTACTTACTGTATTGTTAGTTTAAATATAATATTTATTTTGATTATTATTTACATTTTGTTATATTGTATCATTATATTCATCAGGGTGGATCTACGTTCAAGCTTGGAAGTGCCACGACACTCGATGGTCTCGATTGAAACACTGTATATATAAGAATTTGTATAAATATATAACATGTCACCCAGAGTTGCACCTAAAGACTCAAAAGAGCCAACGAGCCAAAGCTATTGCTATTGACAAAACTCGATCATATAACCTATTTAGTCTATCCAATGTACATATAGGAATCACACTAATGTTCAAAGGATATGGTCATGTGGCATCCGGAACTTCAAAACTCTGGATCCATCTCTAATATTGGAGATGGGTTCATCCATACCTCCTTCGGCAGAAAATTACATTGTTTATACATGGTTGGATTTACTTTTTCTATAAGTTGAACCCCTTTTAACTTCTGCGTTTGTTTACTTTTTCATATTTTGAATCCACTTAGTAAAACTTCTGACTTCACCATCGATCACAGCATATGATACATCAATCTATTCAAATGTTAATTTTCATAAAAATAATACAATACAACACAACACGATATGATACTTTAGGCTATAATTTTTAACCTTCTTGTTAAATGATTTCTCTTTCCTGTTGTGAATCACTGAACTAATAAAACACAAGATAGTTATTAAAAGAACTTGGACCACTTCTTGTTGAGATTGCACACCTTCTTAACATTGCTGCATTTGTAATGTAGGTAAGATATTCATTGCTACACATAAATGGTATCAAAATGGTATCACATGACAATCACCATTAGCTTTTAATTTCTTGCTAGGCGCAGCAATTTTGTGTTCAATTTTCTCAAACACATGTTTGTTACCTTTTATTAGGACTTATCTCTTTAATAAATTTGTACACTTGAATTGAGTGATGATATTTGAGTCAAATCGACTAGCCGCAATACAAGACTTTATTTCAATAAAAAGAAAAAAAAACTTTAATTTGTGTAATTATTCTAGTAGTATTTTGTATGAAAAAATAAGAACCACATAATATAGAGAGGATAAGTCGACATCATCCAAGTAAGAGTGGGGAATTTTGTAATGAAAATGCAAACAACGGCTTAAAGTGCCGCCTTTCTTACCAACTTAGCTAACTCTAAAAAAAAATAAAAAAAAATTCCACGTTTTATTTGTACAGTTTTGTGAACTCTTTGGAAATAGTTGTTGTGCTACATGTGTTTCAGTCAACCACGTTGTATTTATGGAGAATCTTGGAAAAATTGACACCCTCCTTTTTATATTTTGTTTTTATTTTCATATAACCATAATATTTCACTTGTTTTTTTTTTTAAGAAAAAAATATATTACATGAAAAACGAAGGATGGGGATGAAAATTAAAAGTTTAGATAACTAACTAATTTAAATATATATGCTAGTTGATTATTTTCTTTTTTTAAACTTGAACTATGATTCTCAAAATATAAACTTATTTAATTAACGGTTAGACCACGACCTTGCTACCTAAAAATACTTTCAAAATTGAACTCTATTATTTTTTTATCACCATTTAATATTTGTGCGAAGAAAATGAATGTAACATATGTATTTTGCTTATAAACTTTTATTATTTAATAATCATTATATTCATTTTAATTTTGGACTCTTATAATTCAATGAAATGAGTTGTTTTTGGACTTTTGGCCTTTGGGTGTAAACACTATTGTTAAGTATTTTCAGTTAAAAGTTAAAATTCATCCCCGG